GTGATTGAATTGTCTTTCTCTTATTAGAGGTGACAGAGAACTAAATATAGGGTTGACCTGACCCAGAACCAATATAAATTACTGTGTAATTTTATCTTTCCCTATATCTCTTTGATTATTTTATCGTTTCTGCTTTATCTATATTCAATCTGATAATTAAAATTGAATTAACGAATTATTGAACATCTTAAATATATTTTTAATTTGTACATCTATTCACCTCTCTAAATATCATTTGTCTAACACATAAGCCACTCATAGTAGCTTTGATACCATTAATGAAATATATTGGATTTTTGTGTATGTATTTTTTAATATATGAAATATATCTCATTAACTATAATTTTTATTTATATATTTTATGTATATATAAAGTAAAATATGATAAAAAATATTAATAATATTTTAATTATAATTACATAAATTAAAATAATAATTTATTAATTTTTCTCTTTATTTTAAAAGATAATAAAAAATTTCTTAATATATAGTTTAATTAAAAAATAATAAAATAATATTTTTATAAATAAAAAATTAGACGAGTGAATAAAAAGTGACATTTATTATTAGTGAGGAAAAAAGATTGACGTTAAAAAATCTACCTGTACACAATTTTTATATATTTTCTAAAATTATTTTATTTTTCTATTTCATCACTTTTTTTAATGTATCTCATGTTGTATTTTTACGCGTTATATATGATCTCTTTTTCTCTCGATATAGAAAATTGATTATGAAAAGGAAAATTCTATTGTATATAATTATTGGAAACACGTGTTAAAATGAACCAGTATTCATATTTTTTTTATAATTTTTTTAAATAGTATTTTATATTATCTTTCCACTATTTAATTTTTTTTTTCATTTTTTTCTCTTCTCATATTTTTACTATTTTATAATTATATAAGTCATAAAAATTATTTTTTCTGTAAACTATAATATTTTTATTTTTCTATAGAACAGTTACCAGAGGAATCCATTTTATATATAACTAGTGGAAACATAGGTGATAGCCATATTTTTTATATAATTAGTTTCTTTTAAAATATTATTTTAAATTTTATTTCATTTTCTCTTTTCCATATTTTTATTTTTTTTAAATATATAAATCATAATAGTTGTTTTTTAAAATTATAATATTTTTATTTTTCTCTATCCAAAGACATGAACAAGTGGTTAAAAAATAATCCTCATTATATATATATATATATATATATATATATATATTTATAGATAAAATAATTATAGATTATAGATATAGTTTGATTTTATTTTTTTCTTATCTATTTATATATGATTTTTTTTATGATATAAAAAATAGTTATACAAATAAATTGATAAAAAAAATAGAATGAGTAAAATAAAAAATAAATAAAATTTAGGATCATAACACTTTAAATTCATCTTAAATCCATCTTTGACTAACTTTAATATATATATATATATATATATATATATATATATATATCACATAATCATTTATATAAACAATATATTTAAAAATAAAAATTATTTAAATAAAATATTTACATGTATATATAAAATTCAATAATAAGAAATAATTTTATTTGATAAAAATGATTGATAATACAAATATAAGAATTATATAATTAAAGATTATGGCATGATTATTATCAACTCATTTATAAATACTTATGCATATAGAGGTTTTTTTACATGTCCATCTCTTTCTAGAATAATCAATTGTTAACATCTTTTTCATTTTTGCTAGTTTTAAGGGAAACTTAAATACGAATCAGAAACGCAACTATACCATCTTTTTCAAAAATTTACAGATTTTGTCAAATTTATAGTATTGAAAGTTTGTTTGCAATATTAAACTTACAGGGTCTTCATTCTCAAATATTAAAATAAAAATAAAGACATAAAGGAAATATTTTAGAAAAGAAAGTAAGAGAAATTCTATTATGTATGGTTCAAATTTCTCTTTCATAAATTTCATCTGTATATATTTTTACGAGAGATATTTTTTCTCCGAGTAATTTTTTATTAACTTAAATTTGAATTTTTGAATAATCATTTGTTAAATTATTTTTAATTTGTTTTTTTTACAATAATAAAAGATTTAAGAGAGAAAAAATCTTGTTATATTCTTGACGGGGAAATAAATTTTTAGATAAAAGTGTTTATTATTAATTATCTTCTTTAAGAATTATTTTAGTATATATAGAGAAAATTATTATATCATTCTTCGAGTGAAGTTAAACCCTTAATTAGTAGTATAAATTATGTTTCCTCTATGTTTCATGAATATAATATTTGAAATCATTCTTGTAGTTAGAAATAACAATAAATACTTTTCGTATTTTTAAATTTTTATTGATTTTTTTAATTATAAAGAAAACTCATTTTTTTAACTATATTCATATATTTTCTCCAATATATGACTTTCCCCAGAGTCACTACAAAGTCAAATTAAAAGCATTAAATACAAAAATTTGGATAGTGATAAATGAAAATTAAAAGAAGTCAAAACAAAGTTAGTATTTGTATATACTCTTATTAATTAAATATGAGTTTGTACATTTATTGTTTGTGAGAACGTGAGAAGTGGAATTCTACTATGGAGAAATTATATATTGATATTTACTTCTTTTTGTTATAAAAGGAGTATAATATTTATGTTGTAAATCAATTTAAATTTCTTTTTTTTTCTTTTTATCGAGTGCATTGTATAGTAGTTGAGTTTTCTGATTTCTGAGATAATATTATTATTATTTTCTCCTTAGAATTAAAGAGGGTATTGTAATTTCTTTCAATAGTAAAATTTTTCTATTATCGATTTTGTTTCTCTTTTTTCATCTTTTATTTTAATAGGTAATACTATTCATAGTGAAATGTACATAAGTCGATTAAAACCATGACAACAAAATATGAGATAGAGAAATTTAATGACAATAGTTTCTCATACTGTGAAAATGAAAGATGAAGACAATTTTAAGAAAAGACAATTGTGTAGAAGCAATTGAAGAAATATTGTTGGCATCACAGATCAAATGTGAGAATAAATTAACAACACTATAACAAATTTGTGGAGAACGGTAACGAAGGAGATTTGAGAATCCCTTGTCAAATTGTATTAGGAGGAAACAAATATTAGATTTCATTTATTATGATGTGTTGGGATCGCTGGTATTATCCCTCTAGGAGGGGCCAAATATTTTGTGTCTGTAATGACGATGATTACTCTAGGAGATTATGGATGTACCGTATCAAGAGGAAGTTTGTGTTTTCAAAGTTCGAGAAAAACAAATTCTCAGACTATGCTAACAATGTGAATGAGTATTTCCTGTGAATCCCACTATTCACAAGATTATTGTTAGCGATGATACAAATATTATTTTTTTCAAGATAAACTTATAGAAAGGATTGATGTGCTCTAACTAGAAGACTTTAAAGAAAAAGGAAACTTAGTTTGCAGGTTGTCCAAATCTCTGTACAATTTAAACTGGATGGTCAGGTCTTAGTACAAGAGATTTGATTTTTCATGATTAGTCTTAATTACAATTGACTAAGTTCAGGCTATTGCACTTATTATAATATATTAGATGAGAATAATTTTATCATTATATGTGGATGACATGTTGGTGGTAGGTTCCAACAAAGTTCGAATCTAAGTTTTGAAGACACAGTTGACTAGGAAGTCTGATATAAAGAGGGACCAACAAACAAGATTTTATGAGATGCAAATTCACCGGGACATAAAAGATAGGAAGGTTTGGCTTTATTAGAAAAACTACTTACTAAAGGTCTTGTAGTGCTTTAACATACAAGGGTGTAAGTCAATTCTTACCCCATTTTCTATCAAGTTATCCTCAAGTGTGAGTCCTAGCAATAAAACAGGGAGGATGAAAATATCTTGCGTATTGTATGCATCAACAGTGGGAAGTCTTATAAATACTATGATCTATATAAAACTAGGCATTGCGCAAGCAATAAGAGCGGTTAGTAGATTCATGGGAAATTGTAGTGGATAACATGAGTATTATCAAGAGAATTTTTATTAGATGAACCTTGGATGTTGTATTATGTTTCTGAGGATCACACTACAAGAAAATCATTAATTACTGATGGATAATTATCGATAGATATGTAGTCGTCGAGAAAATGAGTGATTACCGAAAAAAATTACCGAGTGATTACCGACAAAAATTATCGATGGATATATCCGTCGGTAAATTAACAATTAGTTACCGACGAATATATCCGTTAATAAATATTTAAAATATATATATATATATATTAAAATATAAAATATATAAATATATTCGTCAGGTAATATGATGAATTTTCTTAGTTACCGACGGATAGAGAAACAATAACTGATTATCCAAGTTATAGAATATTTTAGCTTTGTCTATCATAGAAACCGAGAACATGGCAGTCACCCGGATATATAAGGATTTGGATTAAGAGGATAATTGAGGAACTCGAGCATAAACAATAACAAGTATTGTGATGATCCTATTAAAAGTCTATTGCAATAAAAACATGAAACACAATAATAATGTATTATGAAGATTTGATTAATTTAATCAAAATCTTGAAATGAAAGATTGTGAGAAAAAAAGTCCTACGTCAAAGAAATTATATATTGGTGTTTATTTTATCTTATAAAAAGAGCACAAAGTCTATTTTGTAAATCACCATAATTTTATTTTTCTTTTCTACTAATATATTATATAGTAAATGAACTCTTATTCTCAAATAATATTATTATTAATTTTTTCTTAAATTTAAATAAGGAATTGTAAGTTATTATGATAGTAAAATTCTATTATTATTTATTATTGGTTTTATTTTTTTTCTTATTTATATTTTAGTAGTGAGTTTTTATACAGTTATTATTGATTCCTATCATGTTCTACGTGTTCTTATCGTTAACGGGATGATCAACTAAGTGTTTCTACACACATATATATCAATAAAAGCTATGAATTCTACACATCTTTGCTGTGAACAATTTCATGTAAAGTTTACTAGAAGAGCTTGCTTGCAAATTCATCCATGGCAGTTCCTTCCCTACGACATGAAGCTGACTTAGAGGCAAGCTCTCTCAGCTGAAACCAGCTTCTTCCCAATTGCATAGCCACCTTGCTCTCAAACACTTCACCATTTTCTCTTTTCTCCACATCTTTTTCTTCAAGTGTTGCCTCCACGGTTTCTTCTAACAAACGCAAGAACCCTCCATAGAATCTATACATTTCAAACACCATTCCCACTTGCCCTCCATGCTCAAAGGAGTTAACAGTAGCTAGAGACCCAGCCCAAAGGGTCACCAAATATGTCCAAGACCACGACCCCACATTGTCCACAAACACTGATCCAATGGCTGAAATGCCCAAGTGCAAGGCCCTAAAATGGCCAAACTCTTGTTGATCTTCAACACCATGTTTCCTAATCTCTCGTGGTCCTCAAAATCTTTTCGCTTTGCTACTTCAACAATCTCCCTGAGTTCCATTTCTAGTTGTTCACTCCATCCATTCATTAACACTTCTTTCATCTTCTCTTTCTTCTTTTTTTCCGTTGTGCGGTTGTGAAATCTTATTAGGCCCAGGCCACCACATAACAGGCTCAAACTTTTCAGGGAATTTCTCAAGCATGGCTCCCAAAAGGGGAAGTGGGTAAGCTCTATCAAGAACCAAAACCTTCTCTATCACATCGTTTACATCTTCCTCTGAAGGAATTTCAAGAGCAACAGTGACTTCCATATTTGTCTGCAGGCACTTAAACAGCCTCTTAGCGTTTCGTTGTTCCTCGGCGAGTTGCGAGGGTTGGATCTTGTTCATCACGAGTTGTAACCCTGTGGCTGCACAAAACAAGAGCGTGGAAGATAGTTAAGAGCCAGTAATGGTGTACCTGAACCTGGACACGTGGCAGCAAGACCCGACAAGGTTCCGGTGGCGGATTTTGACCAGGGGCTAAATAATATAAGATCCGCCACTCATAATGAGAGTAATCATGTTGACTGAGTTCAAAAGAAGGATATTCCATTTGTCACGTTGCACGCCAACGTTGTGGTGCATTTCCACCTATCATTTACCAACTCCAAAGTTGTAAGGAATTTAGTGGTGGCGATGGTGGTGGTCTTATTCTTGTTGTTCGGAGTATTAAAGATTAATTATACGATCATCGTACAATGTTTTTGGTTTGACATGGGTTTGTATAGGTGGAATCGCTGGTTTCCTGAAACGAATTTCTGGTTGATATTTTTGGGACTAACATAGGCACTCGTCTGAATTTTTGATACAGTATAGTTGATGGGAATTTTAGGGTTACGTGGACTCGTATATTTCTGATATATTAGATATATTAGTTCCCAATATTTTTATTTTTATTGATGTATTATATGTATATATAGAATATAAATATTATAAAATATTAAATATTAATAATATTTTAATTATAACTACTTAAATCAAGTTAATAATATAATGTTTTTTTATCTTTTTTCTTAAAAGATAATAAAATCTCTTAATACTTAATTTAAATAAAAGATAATAAAGTAATATTTCTAACATTCCTTCTTATTTTAATATTTATTTATTTGATCCTTACTTTAATATCTATTTATTAGAATTTGATAATTTTTCTTTTTTTTATTTTGTTTATAATTTTTTTCTTTTTAATTTATACTTCTTGTCATCTTCTTTCTTATATGAGATCACATCTTCATTGAACTTCACTTTCTTCATCAACATATTTCTTCATTTATCAACTTCATCTCCTTTGTTTCTTTCAAACTTCATGGTAGTACTGTTAACTCTTTGATAGACGTTGAAAACGATTTCTTTATCTACATCTTTATTTTCCTCTTTAACATCAAGTTTCTTCAAGAAATCTTTTTCATATTTTTTCTTTGAATTTTCTTTTATATCTTCGTTTGTAATCATCTTTTCTTTCATCAAATCTAGAGTGAAACTTTTTTCTTTCATGTGAACTTTGAATATTTCAAGTTATTTATATCTTTAATCACACAAAATATGTGTTCAAAAGACACCTTATAACTTTTCTCCAATAATTAAGCAACACTTAACAAATCATAATTTATATAAGAAACATATAAAACATCAAAAATCAATTTGATACCCGAATGACTTATAACTGCAATTGTTCCAGTACCTTTCACATTCATTTGTTCTTCACTACCGATTCTCACTTTAAAAATATGTGATTCGTTAAACTCTTTGAAAAGTTCTCGATCATGAGTCATGTGGTTTGTACAACCACTATCTATAAGTGGACATGTGGATTTGTTGATTGTAGAGCATGTTGATGCAAAGAGAAGTATCTCTTCTACTCTATCCTCTATAACTTGAACGACTTCCTCTAACTGTGATTTGCATATATTTTCTATATGTCCCAATTGACCACATTTGTGACATTTCACATAAGGCCTCCACCAACACTTGTTGAGTGTGTGATTATTTTTCTTGTAATAAGGATAAACAGAAAAGACTCGTGATTTTGTATCTTTGTTGTTCTTGGCTTGGACAGAACTTCCATCATGATATAGTAAAGAACCTTCACCAACAACATGATCTCCTCTCATCAATCTTCATTGCTCTTGTGCTTGTAAAACATGTAGCACTTCTCGAATTTTCTCATCCCCTTCATATTGATATTTCAAATAATCCCAAATTTCTTTGGGTGACTTTAGTGTCATGATTCTGGTGAGGATCATTTGTGAAACACTAACAAACAGACATGATTTAGCTTTTGTCTTCCTCGTTTTTCTTTCTCTGTGAAATTTCATTTCAACTATGGTAGAATTTTCAGGTAATGGATCAACAATATATTCTTCTTCTACAGTTTCTCATATATTCAATCCTTCAAGATAGGATTGCATTCTCACAGCACATAAGTTATAACTTTCGTATCAAAAATTGAAATAGCTACTTGTGACAAGTTTTTTCTTCTTCCATTGTGTCGAACCAAAGCTTTGATACCAATTTGTTGGAAATTTTAGGGTTGTGTGTATATGTGTATTTCGATATATCATGTGGATATATTTCTATTCATGTACTTTATGTATATATAGAGTAAAAATATTACAAAATATTAAATATTAATAATATCTCAATTATAACTGCCTAAATTAAAATAATAACTTAATGTCCTTTTACTTTTTTCTTAAAAAATAATAAAATATCTTTAATATCTAATTTAAATAAAAGATAATAAAATAATATTATCAAAACAGAAACATGTTTTATCTTTAAGGAAAAAGAAGACAAATACATAGATGAGAGATTTGTAAGGAAACCATAGGAATTATAATTTTGGATTACATAAGAAATGGGTGGTCTGATTTTTATACATATGAAGAATGATCGAAACCAAAACTGGAGGCAAAGAATTGGTCTTAAAATGTTGAGGACTTGGCCTTTTGCTGACCCTTTCCCTGTTCCCACTTCTGCAATCTCTTTACATTGGTTGCTTCCCTTTTTGGGTGTCAAAATGCCACACTTTGTAATGTTTGCTTACTTGGTTACTTGCACAGACAAACAACGCCACGTAATGAACTTAAGGAAAACGGCATAAACCTGTGTTCTTTACTCATTCTTCGTTTAATTTCAGTCCAACGCAAGTGTCAAGTTGAGCTTAGGATATGACTAAGTTCTGTAAGTACTAATTTTAGTGAGTAGATAAAAAGCTCAGCAACCTACGACAACGAGAAGAGTCTAAAATACTGGTAACACGTGAGAGAATAAAATTCAGCAATTCTTTTAATTTAATCGTTTTGGGTACAAATGGGATCTTTTATTATTTGGGTTCAAGGTTCAGATTGGATTTTATATGTTTGAAAATGTCAATTAATTCAAAATCATTTAAGATATTGACGAAGTACGAATGTTATCTACCCAATGATAGAAAAAAGTAAAAATTTGAATCCCCTACAGATATAAATCCAGAGCAAAAAATATACAATTTTTTTGTCTGATATACCAGTTAAAATTATGCGTGTTCAATAAAATAATTAATCACATTGTTTTTAAAAAAATATTTAAGAAACTAAGGTAATTAAAAGGGAATAAGGTTAATCGTGATGATTTTTTTAATACTTAGAGAATTGGGATAGGGGTGCATTAATTTTGGTCAGCGTTTGCATCCAATGACGGAGAGAACCAATCGAATTGTACAAAACGACATTTTTTCTGACCCTTGCATTTATTAACTTACTATAATCAATGGTCGACGTAATTCATGTCTACACGGGTAAACGATGACATTTTTGAGATTTGTTTACTTCCACTAAGGAAAATGACATTTTGAAATTAATATCATAAATATATATTTTAAATAAATTTTTTATTAATTACCTTATTTAATTACATAACTTTATTATTTATATTTTGATTATTTTTCTTCATCATTCATTTTTTTTATTTACATTTTATTTTTTAATTAAAAAAATAAATTAGAATTCATGTTAAAATAAAATTTTAAAATTAATATTACAATAAAAATATCAATTAATAATTTGAAATTATAATGATAATAAAAAAATAAATTTATAATAATAATAATAAATAATTAATTTAAAATTATTTTATTATAAAAATTAATTATTAATTTAACTAAAAAAGTTAAATATTTTTTATTTTTTATTTAATAATTTAATCTAGTTATAATCTAATTAAATTATGATTAGAAATAACTTTAAAAATTATTTATTAAAAAACAATTTAAATAAAATTTTTATTATTTTTAATATTGATTTTAAAAAATTACTTTAATATATTTTTGTTAAATTTTAATATAATATTTTTTATTAAAAAAAATCCGGAGAAGAAAAAATGGAATAAATAAATAAATAAATGTGAAATGAAGAGATAAAAAACATAAAGAAAAATGAATGAGGAAAAAAAGTTGTATGTTTTTACTCGGTCAACTTAACTCTATTAAGAGAAGTAGAAAATTTAAGATTTAAATTTTAAAAAATTTATTTAAGTAAATGTTAAAATAAAATATTTTGGATACAAAATTAATTACCAATGATTTTACATCATTATTGTTATATTAATTTACTTTTATCTTTAATAAATTACATCCTCTATTTAATGCGAAAATTTAATAATTTTTATTCACGCAAATTATAAAAAAGTTTTATTTATTTGATATTTTTTTTAATAAAGAAACATGTATTCTCTATTAATAATATCTACATTATGTAAATAGATGTAAATAGATAGGATAAAAACAACGTTGTTTTGTCCTTTTAATGAAGTCAATTTAATTGTATCTTTAATGCAAGTATATTACAATATTAATATTTTAATTGAAAACTATTTAAATAATAAGATAAAAAATACACGAGTTATTAATTATTAACGTTTAATTTAAAAGTTTATTGGTTATTGGTTATGGGCTTTAGTTTTAAAATTTCTATTTGTAGCAACCAGTTTAGTAGTCCCGGTCTAAAGTTTGCTGGGCTTTCTTAAGCCGCTAAACTTTTAGTTAGGAAAAAGTCATAAAAATACTATGATTTGTGATATAGAATATATATACGGGTGCCAAAGTGAGACAACCCGACACACGGCTCACTTTTTGGCGAGACAAAAATTTTATAACCTGCTCAACCTATCACGGGTTGGTAGGTTAGGTGGGTTGGCTTATTAACCTATATTTTAAAAAAAAATTAATTATATAGAAACTTCGAATGTAAAAACTTATGTTTTTTTCTTTATTTCTCAATATCGAGTATCTTCGTTATTAAATGAAATTGTCTTATTGAGTTTTTCATTAATAATAAAACCATCACCAATACAATTTATATTGACATTTTAATGTATTGTTTCGATTTCATATTGTAAATTAATTTAAAAGAAAGAAGTCAAAAATTCATATATTAAAGAGATATACATATAAATTAATAACAAACAACAAATAATGTATAGATGCTACAATTTTCAAATAAAGATTCATCAATCCAATAGTTTAGGTTATGTAACAAATTCTTACCTTTAAAAGTAATACGATGGACACGGTGGTGTAGTGGTGCGGTGGACAGATAATAAGACAAGTGACCCAAGTACAGCAGTAAACGTAGTGGTACAGATGAACAACTCGATAACAAGTTTAAGTAAAGGTTTGGTTTGTGGCGACAACCAACAATGTAGGGTAGAGGTAAGATAGGATAACATCAATTAGGGTTACTAAAGTATTATAATTATTTTTAAAATTTAAAATTAATGGTGGGTTGTGGGTCAACCCACCATAATCCGGCTCGAACCCGTTTAACCCGTGGGTTAAGTGAGTCGGATTCATTTTTAACCCATAATCGGTAGAAATTAAAAAAATCGAATCCAACTCGGCTCGAACCCGTGGTGAGCCGGGTTGGCTCACGAGTTAGAACTCATATTGACACCCTGAATATATATAAGTGTTACACTCAAATATATAAATATAAAATACATTTTATGTTTAAACATATTAATAAAGAAATAATACCAAATTTCTTATTTCGTTTGAATTATTAAATTCATTTTAATAAAAATTACAAAAGTCCATAATTATTTGTTGTAATACTTTACATTCAAAATAATTAATCATTGAAGACAAAATAGAATAGTGAAAAAAGTTGAGTATAAATTTTAATAATACTATTAGATATATAAATATTTCAGTATGTGCAATGTATAATAAGTATTCATTACATAAAATTTATAATAAATACATATTTTCAAATATTTAAATTATATTAAAAATTAAAATACGTAACAAGTATTTAAAAATTTAAAAAATATTAAATTCAATTTACAAATAATTTTTTTACAAATTATTTATCTTATCTTATGAGTTTTATCAAACATATAAAAACAATCCTCTCTAAAACAAACATATAAAATCAACATCTACTGTTTAAAAAAAATATAAAAAAATCATCTACTTTTTAAAAAACATATAAAAACAGATCTAAATAAAAAAAATATAACAACAACGACAACTCTTAAAAGTACATAAAAAACTCGTCTTAAATATTAAACATATCATTACGTAAACTTCAAAGTTGAGAATGAAAGTAAAGTCAAAAAGTATATTGTACCGTACCATTACATGTAACAAATTCTCACCAGTCCCATTTTTGGTTTGCGAAATTGGCAACATTAGTTTGCCTCATCCAATGATTCTTGCACAAGAACAAAGTCCTATTATTATTAATCTCTTTTCTTTTTTTAGCTTTGAGATGAGTGTTTGGTAGGTAACAGTGTGTACACTGAGGAGCGGCGTGGCGGTGCCGCGTTCAGTGCAACCACGCGCTGACGTGCAAAATATTCATCCCGGGCAGATGTGGGACCCACCGACCTCGATAGGTCAAAAGCGCTGTTATCGACGACGACGTATTATGTGCTCGAAGTTGCGTGTGAGGCTTCAGAACAGTGTCTCCATGAAAATGGAAAGAGAGCCAAATTATTGTTATTAATTACTGAAAACAAACAGTTAGTGTTTCCCTCTGCATCTGCATGTGCATACGCTTCAATTTTAATTTCAATTTCTTATTCACGTTATGCCATGCGCATATAGTAACAGATTAGCGACACTTGTTACTAGTGCAACAGTTGCCGAACCTGAGGTAGGGAGGGAGGAATGGCATCGGCGGCTAGAGGCGCCAAGAGACGCCACCCGATGAGTAGAAAAATGCTCATCCTCTACTTCACTTCCCTCTCATGCGTTTTCGTTTTACTCCTCGTTTCTCTCTTCAGATTCCACTCTCACAAACCCTCAATTTCCGTTTCTCGCGTCTTCGATGGCACTCCCAAGATCGCTTTTTTGTTCCTCGTTCGCCGCAACCTCCCTCTCGATTTCCTCTGGGACGCTTTCTTCCAGGTTTCGCATCTTTTTCCTTTCATTTCCTTATACTCTGAAATTTGGGCAATGTCTGAATGGTTTCTATTTTCGCAGAACGGCGACGTTTCGAGTTTCTCGATTTATGTTCACTCCTCGCCTGGGTTTGTTTTGGATGAGTCAACCACCAGGTCGCAATTCTTCTACGGTCGACAAATCAGTAATAGCATTCAGGTGAGTTTTTTTTTTTTTTTTTTTTTTTCGGTTGTTGAGGAAGCGATGCCACCAACTTATCCACGAACTTGCTTTCCTTTTCGAAATTGTTGAGAGTAGTGAAATGTTGCTTTTATATTGAGGTTTTGCTTCGTAAAAGTAGGTGAAAGGGGATCCACTTTTATTTTGTCTTCTCCATCAAGGGCAAATTCTTTCAATTGTGTTAAGTGGTAGGTATAAAGTTTACATGATGGAGAAATTGACAACATGAACTATTTTCTATTTATGTTTTTCTTTCTATATTGGCCTAATCATAAGAATACAAAACTAGTAGCACCGAATGCCAATGGGGGGTGATGGTATTACTCTGTAATGATCTGATAATTTTAGACACTATATTTTGGAAAGGATTTATGCCTTAGAAAGTAAGTTAACGAATAAGCCTTTTGGAGAAGTTAAAATTATTGAACTTTTCAAACAACTGATTTTAAAAATGTAATAATGTTAAGCTATTAATATGTTTTATTCCTGATGTGGATTCAGTGTTACATATTTTAGGTTTTATGGGGAGAATCAAGTATGATTCAGGCTGAAAGATTGTTACTGGGAGCAGCCTTAGAGGACCCTGCAAATCAAAGATTTGTTCTTCTTTCGGACAGGTTGGTATTTTCAATCTTCTTGTATTAATAAAGTTTTCTTTAGAAGTTGTTCTTTCTCTATTTCTGTTTCTTTGTCACTCCTATTTGAAGGAAGAGGCAAGTTTGTGCCAGGCATATCTTTGTGTAAAGTCACTTGCGTGGGTAAGAATCTGAATTTTTATTTTCCATGTGCAGCTGTGTTCCTCTCTACAACTTTTCCTACGTGTACAATTATGTCATGGTTTCTCCAAGGAGTTTCGTGGACAGGTAGAAGAAGGCTTTGGTTCTTGAGGTGCTTAGCACTAATTCTTTTTCGAATGTTCAATTGTAATCCATTTAAACTTGCATTTTCTGTTACATTTTTTGTGAACAGGATATGTTTTAATGGTGGAATAAACGAGTTTGTTTATATTGCAGTTTTCTTGATGTAAAGGAGGGCCGCTACAACCCAAAAATGTCACCTAAAATACCACGGGAAAAATGGCGTAAAGGGTCTCAGGTTATTTTTATTTTCTTTGCAATACCTCAATATTGTTCTTTCCAATCGTAAACATGTTTGAATCTCTGGATCAAATGTTGCTTAGTAGAATTTTTCTTCTACAATCTGGCAGAACCTACTGGTTAGATGTAGGCCTTTTATGGAACACAATTTTATCTTATACTTGCTGGGGGAGAAGCTCTAAAAGCTAGATAACTAGATACAACGGACCAACTTTTGAAATGTTAACTTTAGAAAGTACCAAAAACTTAAACTAGTTTTTATTTAATCCACTTTAAGTTAAATGTAGTTCAGGTAAAACCAATGTGTAAAGTTAGTTTTGTTGTAATCCATTTGTATCAATGGTCTTTTATTTTTTCCTATTTGTTTTGTTTTTGCTTTTAACATTATCTCTTAATATTTGAACTATAAGCGTCTCTCTCTGTTCTCTGTATTTAAATTCTGTTATGATTACAAATTTTGAAACCGATTACAAATTTTAACTGGACTAAGAATTCATTCAATCTGGTTGCAAATTAACTTGAATTTATATAAAGGATTTATTTACAAATTTTCTAAGCTGTTCTTCAGGTAGAGGTAGTTTTAAGCTGTGTTTCCTGTAGGTGATAATATTGACTAATTCAATTGATGGAGTTTATTTATGGTTTAAAATATGAAGGCAAGATATTCCTTCCCTTTTCAGATCAGTTAAAGAAAAAACTTGGTTTCTGGTTGTTGGGTTGAAAACTAGAACCATTGCTTCTCACAGATATGACTCTGCTAAAGTGCTTTCTAGTAAAGTCAAGAAGCTCCACTTGCCATGTTAAAAGGGGCAATTTTTATTGGGTGTTTAGCCAGAGTTTATCTATGAGTTGCTTTTGTAAATATCAAATTGACATGGTTTATTACATTGAGGTTATGGCATAAAACTTTAACATTTATGTCTGGAAATTATGTCTTAATTTGAATTTATTTTGAATTTGCAGTGGATCACTGTAATTCGTAAGCATGCAGAGGTGATTGTAGAAGATAATGTAATCTTTTCTGTCTTTAAGAAATATTGTAAGGTATGTAATCAATCAAAAGTTTGTTAACTACAATTCTATTAAGATTATGATACTCCTGTATTGATTTATTGAAGTTTTTTGGTATTATATATACATGAAAATTGTCATAGAATCCAAAATTGAATGCTTTAGCATACAAAACTGTACTAAATACTATCTGTAAGTCTGTACTGTGTTCATAATAAATAGAAAACCTACCTAATTTTCTTCTCACTTGGCAGAGACGTCCACCAATTGATACAAGCAAGGGAAAGCTGAATCTGGTAAGTCTTCCAATTAGTTTTCTATTTTAGCGTTGTTACTTGAAGATTATCATGTTATCCTAATCTGTTGTGCATAATAGTGATACGCATTCTTCACTTTTGAGTGGAAATTATTAAGTCAAAACAAACTGGGTACTTTGACGTTATGTTGATTGTGCTTAGAGTCCCAAATAATCTTGTTAGTAGAATCTTGGTGATCATGGTAAAGCAATAGTGGGCTTAATACTGATGCGACAATATAAAAAGGCTTTGAATTCAGAGCTCAAAGTCGTTTTTATTTGGGAAATTTCCCTCTCACGGGGCATGTTTCTGACTGAGTAATGTATTATAAACATTTGTCCAAGCTTTGACAATTTTCTATCGTGATCGTCTCAAAGTGCATAGCATTCTAGAATATGTCGTGTATATTTGTGGCATAGTTCTAATTTTGAAAACTGGACTGGGTGTTTTGAACCGTTGAACTAGCCAGCTAGGTCATGCTTTCAGATTAACTAAGATCCGCAATACTGAAAACTGGCTTTGAAAATAGTAAATTGGGGAAACTGCCCTTTATTGATTCAGTGACTGGTATAGTCTTCAAAACCTTCATATGGAGTGAGGAAATGTCTATAATTTACTAGTTAGTGAAATTCTTAGATAAAACCAAAATATAGGAGTTCGTAGGATCCTGTTTACACTTTTCTAATAATATTTGATGAGTAATTATTTAAGCATTGTTAGAAATTTCTATTTAAATTGTCTCCCTTTGCTCCCCTCTATTATTTTCCCTTTTATTTACATCTGATTTTCAAAGTATGTTCTGATGGTTGCTTTTGAACCCCATGTGACAGCTGTTGAATTTTTCTTTTTTGTTATCTACAACGGTAATAATCTTTCGAAGTACGCTGAGACCTGATCTCATTTACAATGATAATTTGTGATGCTACACAGTACTCATTTTATAATATATTTATTTTTATTCTTTTATTTCAATACTCATAATTGTTTCCTATGATTTTGGTATGAGTGCAGAAACTTCAGAAGCAGCACAATTGTATTCCAGATGAACACTATGTGCAAACCTTGCTGGCAGTAAGATACTGAGATATTTATTCCATCATCATTATCTATGTTCCTTTTGGGGATATGTGCTTTGATCGTATTTATTCTTGATTCTGCTTTATTCACATTTACTTTGATTAAATTTTGTTATTGATATCCAGTAAATTTTCAAGGATTGATCTGCATGGATATTGTTTGTAATCTTAATATGCATTTCTCTTCTCTTTGTAGATGCATGGCTTTGAAGGCGAACTTGAACGAAGAACGTTAACCTATACCCTATGGAATCAGTCTTCTACAAAAATGGAGAATAAAGGCTGGCATCCTATTACTTTCAGCTATTCAAATGCTGGTCCTCAAACGATAAAGGAAATAAAGGTTTTGTTCTGATGCTTCATACTTGACTTAAGCATAGATTTAGGCCATTTATGGAGTGGAAAAATGAAACGGTTCAATCTTTTAGGTTTTTTATTTTTAAGGGGGGTAATACAAAAAAGGAGGATTCAGATAATGAATTCTTAATGTCTACTGTTGTCCTGTGGATTGGATACTTGGATGGTCGAAAGCTGTCTCTGAAATAAATAAAACTTTCTTGAAATTAGTCTTCGTAATAGTTGATTGGGATAACATAAGCTGATCCTATATCATGGTACAATTCATATTCAGTCAATAGTCAAACTGCCACCTTTCATGACAAGACCGAAGTGACCTGGTTAGCCAATAATGTTTTGTTGAAGACTTGAATAAACTAATTAAGGTACCCAGGATCTTTGCTTCCCGATGGTATGGCCCATATGCAAGGAGTTATTTCTGGATTCAAACCCATAGTCAATTAATCACCAAGGGACAACTTTACCGTTTTGTCATGGCTCACCCTCTATTTAAAGACTTGAGTAAAGCTCATAAAAGAAAATTATTGTCGTCTATTTTATACTTCTTTTTGGTAACTAATTCCCAAGTCCTCTATTTTGTTTTGTGCTAGAAGATAGATTTTGTCGCTTGTTTTTGCAAGATAATTATTACATTTTTTTTAGTTACAGATTAGTACATGTTTTAACGCAACTATTTTCTTCGTCTAAATATCCTTTTTTCTAAACAGGGCATCAATCATGTTTATTATGAGACTGAGTACCGGATAGAATGGTGTCGTAGCAATTCCACGTCTGTTCCGTGCTTTTTGTTTGCCAGGAAATTCTCTCAGGGAGCTGCTATGCGCTTGCTAAGCCAGGAAGTTGTTAACCACTTTGAAGTTTCTGCACTGTTAGCCACTCCCCCATGACTTAGTCTATACTGATTACTCACTGACATACTAAGATATATACCTCGGATGTCAAATGGTTCAATCAGGATACTCCACACCACACATAAGAGAATTTGATAGGATTATTATACAGCATACTCCGCACAAACAGATTTTGTAGACAAATGGTTGCTGCGGTTAATTAATGGGAAAGGTAAAGTACCTGCGGATTATGAGCCTGATGGGACCATTTTACCTGGCTTAGGGAGATGTCTAATATACATTATACCACAATTTTAAAGTAATAATCACACGAAATAGGAAGTTATTATGGTATAAAAAGAATTTTTTTCAGTAACTTCTGGAAATTTTATTTTGGATAGCTGACTTAAGGCCCTCTCCTTGCCCCCCAAATTTCGAGAAAGGAACTGAGGAAGGCCATGCTGGGGACGTGCTTCCCAAACAATAACAATGGGAATTTTCGTTATGAATTATGGGAGGTGGTATCCGGTACAGTATATGAAATCCTCTTCATCCACCAGAATTGTCATTATCTTTCTTGGAAATCATGTCTTCTGGAAATCTCATAAATAAACTTGATGTTTTAGAATGTTTTGGAAAATTTTCGGACATGATTATTAAAAAAAAAACTTTTTTTTTCTTCATGAGCAATTTTAGATTCCATCGCCTTTCCTAGGTAAGTTTTAGAAGGAAACTTCATTAAAAAAACGCCTTTTACAAATCTCAGATTTTGGGAAAGCTTAGTTATGGGTCTTCTCATATTCTTCTGCTAAACAATCCCATGTCTTACTTATGAGTCGTCTTAATTTTCTATCTGAAATGTTACGGTATTGTTCGGATTGACTTGGTGAGTTGGTCATTTAAATGTTTGTAAAATTGATGTTGTAATATTAATTTTAAATATAGTGATTTACTCTGTAACAAGTAGGTTGTAAAAGTTAGCAATTCTTTTTTTTTTTTTATCTAACATGAGTTAAAGGTGTTTAATTTCAAAATTAATGTTAGACCTAAAATTAATTTCTCGAATTGGGATTACGCATGAAAACCTTTACTTTAAATTACATTAGCTAGTTGTTTGACATGAATAGTTGAATTTTTAAAATAAAAAAATAAAAAACTGTATAAATAAAATAGAGTGATTTTTTATCATTGAATTTTTTAAAATTCAAAATTTCAGTTATAAACTTAATGAATGTTTTAAATAAATTATTTTACATTAAAAAATTTGAATAATTAAAGAAATTTTCATAATTATTTCATTTTTTATTTAAAAATATTTAGTTTTATAATTTTTATTGAAGTTCTAGTCTTAGATAAATAAAATACGAGAGGTAAGTGTTTGTTAAAAAAACATGTGAAGATGAGTGTCTTCTACTTTATTAAAAGTATGAGATTAATATCTTTTTAAAAATTAAAGAGGGTGTGATTATTATTTTATTATAAGCTTAATGTAAGTGAATGTCTACTTTAAACTTTGTGAAATATGAGAAGCATTTAGCATAATTTAAGGAGAGGCAACTGTAAATTTTTCTATAAAGTTTAAACTTTTATTGAGTTAAAGTTGACTTTATCAATTTAAACCAAACTACTTTTGATTGGATTTTGCCATAAACTCAAATTAACCCAAGGAATCTTACTAAAAATGTAGATTTACTAATTAATAATATACTTTATTTCTGTGCAAATCTTCACTTAACCCCTTCTCTCTCTTTTTTCTCTTTATTATCATTCTAATATTATTTCTGAAAAATATGATGATTTCAAGTCTAAATGGTTAAGTGTCCCCCAACTAGAAGTGTTTGTGGAAAGAGTCTGTTTGCATCTATGCTTCATCCAAAAATTTGATAACATCAATTTGGTGTTGAAACCAACTCAATTAATACATTATTAGAGAGAGGATTAGGTTAATTCTAAGTGTTGATATATTATTCATATAATTAAAGTATAATTATAATTAATGTATATTTTAATATATATGGTACTAATATAAATAAAATATAATGTTACAAGCAATATTTAGTAATTTAAAAAATTGTATTATTGATCAATAATTATTTAAGAATATGGTTTTTAAAAATATGTATAACCTAACACTATTCTAGAAATGCACATAATCTAAATCCGTTAAATACACTTTATATTAAATTTTAAAATATACACTTTATATTTAAATATTTATTAGAATAAATATATTAAATTTTAAAATATACAATATTTTAGATTTTATTATGTGATCCTATTCGGAAATTAAAATTGTGTCAATATGTTGATAAATTCAAGATAGTTAAGGAACTGAAATCAAATACACTTTATAAATATTTTTTCTCTCAATGTATTTTTTAAGAACAGAAGTATAAATATAATTTATATACTCTTTCTTCATTTAACCCAACACAATATCCTTAATTTTAAAAAAGATATTAATCACAAGTTATAAGGTACAGTGCTACCTAATATCAAGTAAATGGTGGCATTATTTACAGTGATAGAATATGCTGATATCACAAATCTACTAACTTCACACAACAAAACGAACAGTGAGAAAAATCAACGATTATGGGCAGACTCAATCTATTGCAAAATTTAAACCCAAAAGTATTCTTGTTTATTTATTTTTCATCAAACAATATAGCAAGTAACCACAATAATTAAAAAAAGAATAGAAGAATGAAGGAACTAGTGTGAAACAAAGGGGCTCTAACCTATTCAAAAACGTCCCCGAGCTTTCTTTGAAGCATCTTTGTTCCATCCTCTTTGGCGAGCCCTGAGCTCCCACAAAGCGGTTTCTTTCAACTGATTTTCAAGTGCTGCTTCGGCTCTTTCCCTTGCCTGCTCACAAGTCTCCATCCCTGAATTGCACTTGTCAGCCTCCTTTTGAAACTGTGATGCTAATTTCTTAGCCTCTAGAAGTTTTATGTCTGCCTTTCTTTGCTTTTCCTCAGCTTCAGCTTCCTTTGCCCTTACTTCTTCTGCTAAAAGGTCTGTAAAACTCTTCCCCACCTCTTCAGTCACCTCTTTGTCATGCCTCATGCAATCTACAACATATATATGCTAAATATATAAAAATCTGCAATCTCCAGGATCAACAGTACCAGAATTTGGATTCATTATAATTAGTCACGCCTTTTGGAAGTAGTATCCTCCAAAAAATTTGTTGCTGTCCTCTATATCAGACTAATAAGTTAGCACCATTTTACACTTTTAACTGCATGCATATAGTTACATGTAACACATTCTTGTGTCTCCACACAGGAGGATCTCGGATGCACCTGAAATTTTTTATTTTTTTTCTTCACTCAAAATGCCACTTTGTACATTTTTATGCACCTTTTCTCTTCTGAGTAGACAATGTTAGTTTTTGACAACCATATAAGCTCTTGTTTGGGATTTGTGTTTTGGACTAGGATTTTCACTTTTGTCATTAAAGAAGTGTTTTGATTTGGTATGACATCAGGTGAATATATCTTGCACTGGAGGAACTAAACATCATGTTCTCTTCTTTTCCCTCATTAATTAAAAAATAACATCAGCAAAAGTAACGAACAGCTAACAAATTGCTATTTTTCATTCACATCCACTTTTTAATTGGAAGGACACATGATTTTAAGTCTCTCCAAATTTATAATAACGTCTTTTCACTTCTACTTCCATCAACGATGTTACACACTAAAAAGGTGGGAGAGGATTAGATATATGCAGACTTATCCAATAAACAGTGAGGCCATTTTGACAATAAGAATTTGTGACTACCTCACACCATTGTGGCAATGCTATCCATCTAAGTTAGTGTGCAAGATTAACTACTTGATGTAAATCAAGTGTTACACTATTTTAGGAGGGCGAGTAGCTGCAAAAAGTGGGGATCAGAAACCTCTCCCACATCTCTTCTTTCAGAAGAAAGTGCAAGTTAGTAATTTCCCTATCCTTTATCAAGTATCTAAAATTAAAATAGGATTGATCCCAAAATGCATCATCATCCTACGTGAGATACTTAAACCAAGGAGTATATATAATCATGACCATGAACTGGTTGCTGTTCTCTAATGTACAAAAGGGGGAGGAACTAACCTAAAATGGAATTGTTGGTCAATCCTGCAGAAGCAAGCAGAGACACCACGTTAGTAATCAGCTATCAATGTCAGAGCACAAGAAAAACATCTACAAAGACCCAATCAAGAATCCTGTTTTCCACTGCAGGGCCACAGATTATGTTTAATAAAAAGTTCAGTATTTGATCACACTATTTGATTGGCGAATCCCTACCAGGCTTACAAACCATCTTTAGCAGAATATATGTACAGTAAACAACCCATCCAAGATAATCAGAACGAATGTAAACCATGAAGGAACTAACACTTGCATAACAATTTCATCACATGTTTCAGTTTTCACATTGTAAAGGTCACTAAAAAGAAAACCCTTCCTAGATGAAATCTACAAGCAAGTGTAACACAACACATGGTTAAGTGTTGGTTTAGTTTTTCATTGAATAAATTCTTAAAGAGTTGTAATAACATACTTTCCAATACACTCTGTTAATAGTTAAAATTAATAATCACAAAACTCATAATTAAATTAACCATCAAGCCGTACAAATTTTTGTAATTTCTAATAAATCTTAATCAATAAAAAGAAGGCTTTTTAGAGAAAGTGTGTTTCTAATGGGTAACCAAACATATCCTAGCCTAAGTATCCTAATAACCACCCAATATGGCCAACAGGTGGAGCAATTTTTGTATATATTCTGAATCAAACATCGTCATCACTTAAGAAAGAAAAGTGAATACCTTCCGGAAGAGCAATAAGGGGTTGAAGAGAGCAATCACAGTGACAAGGGGGACAAGAAGAGGAGGCATTGAGAGACTCATTAAGATGCCAATACAATGGTCGTCCTGCAATGTAAGCGATGAGAAAGAGTCCCAGAATCCATATCACCAATCTGAAAGCCTTTTGCTGCCTCCTATTCATCTTTGCCAATTGCAATGATGTCTTACTGAGCTGCACAAGAAGAGGATCTTGACTGCGAATAATAATTTATTTGTTAAGGTTTGGTTTGGTTTGGCTTCAAGATTCGCCTACCCGAAACTGCACCCCCATGTTTACGTGTGTCTCTCTTACGTCCCAAAGATACACACACACACACACACACACCCTCTCTCCTTATTTTCTGTCATTTTATTCATAATTAATCAATTCAACCTACTTTGCTTACCTTATTTACACATCCAATCTCGTACTATTGTATACCTTAAACAGTGTCAGGTTGTGGCAGTTATATGTTGTATACTATCATATTCTTTAAAATACATTGTTTAAGAAAATTTATTTACTTTAAATTGTGATACTTATACAACGATATATATGTATCATTTTTTATTTTGTGTTTCTCTCTTTATAATTATGATATTTATAATAAATACATTTAAGAAAGAGATGAAGACTAACGGATGGCCTAAATATCATTGTATAAACTATTGTATAAATATAATTTCTCTATTTTGTATTATTGATTGAATTTTATTAAAAAGCATACAACTTTGGAAATTTTTATTTTTATTTAATAAGCTTCACTTATAATTTTATAACTTTTAACCAATCATAAAAAGGTATTCATTGAAAGACTCATTTATTTAATCTCATATTAGTAATTTAACACATTATATATATATATATATATATATACACAATTTTTTGTACCTTATTTATTTTTATTTTAAATAGACAAATATCTCAAATTTCTAAAATTAAATTAGATAACAAAAGTTCTTCTACTTTTGCTGTTTATTACATTTTTTTCTACCTTTTTTTTTCCTTTTCATGAAAAAAAAAACTCTACTTTTTGACCAAATGATACATCTTATTATTATTTTTTCCTTTTTAATAATTAAATAAGGGGTAAAGAGATTATCTATTTGGATTTTTTCAGTAAAAGGACTTTGACTGTTTTCATGTGCTAACTGAAAAATACAATATACAATATCATTTCATTAAAAGTGATTTCACAAAGAAAACAAAACACAAAAAAAAAAAAAAACTTTTACGATTAGTATAAGGCCTTTTTTGGTACTTTTTTTTAATTGAATAGTATTATTTTTTAAAAAGAAGTTATGATAATTATATATTTAAAGAAAGTTGGGGAAAAAACGTTTCAATACTTTTTAAAAGGTTAAAAAAATTTTGAAGACAAACCAATATACATTATCTAATGATTGATTGATAAAAGAATAATTTTTAGAATCATTCCATCCTCAAAACGAAACCGAGACTTGATACAACGATAAGGATATTGGCTTGATATTGTAGGTTATAGGTTCAAATCCTAAAACCTGCCTCTTTCTGAGTGGGAGTAAGCTTACATGTATTTATCCTCGCCTTGTGCAACCGCTTTTCCTTACTAAAAATGTTTGGATGTTGCTAAAAACTGTATGAATGCTTAGTTTTATGGTAAGTCATCTGCCCATGTACATAAGACTTCGATGATACCTGATGCCAGTCAACCCAAAAAGACAAGAAAAGGAAGTGAATGGGCCAAAATCTTTTATGGAAATTCAAAAACACTGGGGCGGCTCATAGGACACTTCATGAGTGCTAGCCTACATTGGAAAAACTCCTGTTTAGATAACATTTCAGCATGTTCTTGAAATGTTAATCTGATATGATGTGGCTGCTTTCAAGGTTAATGTCCACTTTCTCTATTTTGATCATTTCCTTTCTCAGAATTTTTAGTGTACAAACTATTTCTTGAAACTGTGGGTGTGAGTTGTGATCTGTGAAAAATGTAGTGATGGTCCCATGTAAGACAATAAAGCTCCAGCCAGGAATTTTTTTCAAGCCAAGAGATCTCATATGAGTCCATGCCTCGCCCACTTCTTCCCACTTGTTTATTGAAGCATAACAGTGTGCTAATTGTACAAAATTTCCAGCATGTGTCGGCCTCAGCATGAGCATATCATTGGCTATTGTGTCACCAAGTTCATCATTCCCATTTACCCTACAAGCATCAAGGATTATGCCCAAAACATCGAGCACAGGTTCTGAGAACTTTTTCTTATACACGTTATATGCCTCCGCTACCTTCCCAGCACGACTGAGGAGATCCACTACACAAGCATGGTGTTCAAGATTTGGTACAATTCCAAAATCTTTGGTCATTGATTCGTATATGTTCAAGCCCTGCTGTACAAGTCCATTATGACTACATGAAGATAGGACTGAGAGGAAAATCACATGGTTGGGTTTCATTCCACTTTCCAGGAACATTGAGTATGACCTCAATGCACTCTCCCCTTTGCCATGATAGCCGTATCCTGCAATTATGGCACTCCATGAGACCAAATCATGATTTGGCATCTGGTTGAAACACCTTTGGGCAGTATCCAAATCACCACATTTGCAGTACATGTCTACCAAAGAAGTGTCAACCAAAATGCATGGCCTAAAGCCATTTCTTATCACAAAGCCGTGGATCCATTTTCCCAAGTGGAGTTGTCCGGTGGATGCACATCCTTGGAGGAGGGAAACAATGGTTATTGAATCAGGTGTTTGACGATAAGACCTCATTTCATTAAAAAGGAACATGGCCTTACAAACATGGCCATTTTGAGCATATCCAGTAACCATAGCATTCCAGGTAACCAAATCCCTTTTGTCCATCATATCAAATACAATGAAACTCTGATCCAAGTGACCACACTTAGCATACAGGGTAACAAGAGAGTTCTGACTAGCAAGATCCAATTGCAACTCCTGCCTTAATATATAACCATGAATCGATGTCCCCAAATTAAAAGACCCAAGTTGTGCACAAGCTGTGATTACAATAGCCATAGTAGTAGTAGATGGCTTCACTCTATATTTTAACATCTGTCGGAAAACAGCTAGTGCTCTGTCTGCAGACCCACAATGCACAAGGCCTGAGATCATTGCTGTCCACAGAACTACATCCTTGTCTGAACTCCTTTCAAACATTCTAAATGCAATGTCAATGTTCCCACCTTTTAAGTACATTACAATCAATGATGTCTCAACACATGCATCCAAGTCAAAACCAGCTCTTAAAATCTGCCCATGCAAACACCTTCCCAATTTCAACTCACCCATTGATGCAGCCAGAGACAAGAGAGACCCAAAAGTCTGCGGATCAAGCTCAAAACCTTGTACCCTCATTGTCTTAAGAAGTAGAAAAACTTCATATAGATTCCCAATCCTACCATAGGCTGAGATCAACGAATTCCAGGAAACCAGGTCCCTTTGATCCATGGAATCAAACAATTTCCTAGAATCCTCAATGTCTCCACACTTCCCATACACATTCAGCATAGAGTTTGACAAGTTTATATCAGACATAAACCCATACAAAATTGCACAACCATGCAAACATTGCACGTGAGCAAGCTCAGAAACTCCAAACAGCAAGCTCAACATGGTAACGCTACTGGGTGGAATTCCCTGGAGACGCATTCCATCAAACAGAAAAAAGGCCTCAGGAACATGACCCATGCGCGAGTAACACCCAATAATGGTGGTCCAAGGTACAACGTTCCTCTCAGGCATAAAGTCGAACACTTTGCGAGCAACATCGGAGCATCCAAATTTGGCGTAAAAATAGATCAAAGAAGAGGCAATATAGGGATCAAGAGACAACCCTTCAACGAGGATCCGTTGATGGAGGGAGAGGCCGAGGTAAAAGTAGTTGAGAGAAGAGCAAGCTTTGAAAAGACTGGGGAAGGTGTAGGCGTCAGAAGGGACATGGTTTGTGAGCATATAGGCATAGGTAACAAGAACTTGACAGTGAGCACCTTGGGATGAATGGTGGTTGATTAAGGCATTGAGGGAGTTTGTAGTGGCTGAAGTTGGGTGTGGTAGTGACGCCACGTACCGTTTTAGAACACTCAGACTCAGCAGTAATTGCGGCGTTGGTTTGTATGAAAGCATGATCCATTCCTTTTGATGTTGCTACGCTAAGCTTAAGCCGCATAACCAAATGTCTCAGCTTGATAGACCCCGTTGTGCACATGGCTTAAAGGGTTTAGAGAATGCTCATGCATTGCTTTATATTTCAAATTAAATGAATTCCAATTTTATAATTTCGGCCAAACGCAACTTCATTTACAAAAAAAAAAAAAAAAACTCAAAGCTTGCGATTGTTGTATCCAAAAAATTGCGAATCCGAACCAGAAAGACTCTAAATTGGTGTGAAGCAAAATGATTCTCGATGCTTTTCTTTACAAGTACAATGCTTACTCGTTTAAGGAATTGATTGAGAAATTTTATTGCCCTGGGGCCACTGACATCATGTTTGTAGCACAGGTAATAAGCTCGAAAGTGCACGAATTCAAATTCATTAGTAAAAGCACGCATGACCATTTAGGCAAGAAATTATCTTCCAAGATAAATGTAACTCGTCAAATTTCCTATCTTCCATAGAATTGTTTTCCTTGCTGTATATCATTCTTTCAAATTATCTTGGTTCAATTATCTGAAAATGTATACAGCTTTCATTAATGAAGGCTATTCCGAATACACAGCTGTCCCCGTTTCTTATTGACTACCACCATCATTCATGTTCATGGATATACTAAGTTACAGCTTGAATAATTTGCTCCTGCTGCTCTGACTTGATATGTGAATGTAAGCATCAGTACACCAACACAAAGAAGATTTACAAAATTAGGATAGCTACTTCTCTTTCGATGGATATTCTCTGGCTCCAAATATGGCAGTTCCAATCCTAACATTTGTACTTCCCATCTCAATCTGCAAAATTAGATTAGCTGGTTAAAAAATATAATTCGTTTCCCTTCAGTTCATCTACTTTCCAAGGGGGAAAAAGATTCCTTACAGCTTGCTCAAAGTCTCCAGTCATGCCCATAGACAGCTCACATTGCTTTTCTGATATTCCAAGTGCTTTACAAACTTCACTTCTGCAATTGGATAACATCTTGAGAGTACAAAAGAATATTTAGTTTGGAGAATTATCTAGAAGAGCAAATAAATAGGAAGTCCCAAAGACCAATAAATCATGTCTAAAATGTATAGTTGCCACCTGAAAATTTTCTGGGGTGGATGAATAATCCAGCATGCCAATTGTCATTAGACCAGAAAACTCAAGGTTTGAGCAGGTTGAGATGTGTTTTACAAGATCCACACACAGAGCTGGTTCAACACCAAATTTAGCTGGCAAAAAACAGCAGTCAAATATCATTCTTGATATCAATAGTAAACTCAACATTGACAACAACTGTTTTAAAATGGGACAAAATGAAACACAGAGATGTAGATTATAAACCAGAAGTCAAGTAATCATTCTAATAAATATTAGTAATCATTCTAAACATATGTTCAATAAAATAATTGGACGGTACATTTACTAGTGATTTTGATGCTAAATTCAAATTAATCTATTATAGAGAAGCCGTGTCAAAAAAATTGGGATAATAGTCTAACACAACCAAGTCAACTTTATTAAGATACCATACTGCCGATAGTGATTAGTGAATTGGTTGGCTAATCTGTCAACTGCAACTTACAAGTTTCTCCGCTTGTATTTACTTGAACAAAAACCTTCAATGGTTTCCTGCCAACATTTGCTACAGCACGATCAAGAAGATTTGCTATCTATCAACAACAAATATACCATATAGTCAGTGCACCACCATTCGCAATAGCATACTAAGATCATGCACGCACTAAATTAAAATATCTTGCTTGACAGCACATTTTAGGCATAAACTATTTCTATATCATTTTAAATTGAAATTATTTTTTACTTCATAAAAACAAAATTGTCAAGAATTGATATAAGACATTAAAGGTATGTTTGGATGAGTTTCTCCATAAGCCCTTCTAGGGAGGAAAATTAAGAAAAAAAAATGAAGTTGACTTCTTCGTAAGCTAAAATTAGCTTCTGCACAAGTTAAAAATACAAAATTAAAGAAATTACATGAAAGAGTTTCTACAAATTAGTTTACAGAAACTAATTTTAAATTTTCTTCTTATTTTTTTATTTTAGAAGAAGCTTATAGAGAAGAGCGTTCAAACAATCCTAAATGATAATGAAATGGAACAAAATTGAACATAAGATTACATGTAAGATAATTTTATTTGCACAAATCCAGAAAATCCATTGATCAAGAGGTAGCGCTAGGAATTACTTCTACAATGTAAGGCCCATCTGCAACATTAATATTTAGATGCTGCATCCTATCCTAAAGACAGCAAGTGAAACCCAAAAATCTTGTCTGAAACTCACATCATATTACAACTATTTCCAGGTTCTATGAATTTTCCATATCCGCTTCCCCTCTAAGAATTTAAAATTTAATCAAGATTTACATCCTTATATGTGCTCATATACACGTGAAAATATACTACCTTGACAACCAAAACAAATTATGAAGAAAAAACAAGTACCTTCTCATCGTCCACGGTTTCTACACAAGCAAGGTTGGGAACACCAGCTGTGAAACATAAAAAGAAAATGTATTAGAATCCCCATTCCTCACATCCACATCGAACACAAAACAAAATTCCCAAATATTCACCAGTTCGCAAAATTGTGCTCGTGTTTCTAAATCAACAATTGAGCAAAGTTATTTTACACGTGCCGTATAGTTTTTAAATGAAATTTGAGAATGGAATAACACATGTCTATTAATTAACCGAAACTGAGACAATAATAATGAAAGAGCGTGATTTCGGTTGCAGCAATGGAAGTAGGGATAGTAAATAATAGATACCGATAAGAGGCTTGACTTTGTTGCTCTGCAAATTGCCGATGAGATGCCACTCGATGTTATCGGGAAGCTGCGATTGGGAAGAAAATGTAAGCATTAAGGAGTGAATCCAAAAAGAAAGGAAGGGAAAGAAGTAACTAACCTGAGGAGCTTTTTGAAGGAGTTCCTGAACGTAGTTCTCGCCGAAGAATCTATGGCCGGCGTCGTAGACCTCACGGAGAGCAGAAACTGACTTGGTCTTGCTCGCCGCCACAACACGAATCTCTTGCACATTCCGGCCGGAGCGCTCAGTGGCCCCCCGGACCCGGTCCAGCACCGCGTTCAGCGACGGCGCTGCTGACGATGCCATTGGCCTTGCCCCTTCTCACTCACCACCGATCTTCCGCATATCTAAAACGACATTGGGAAATGGGAATCATTGGCGTGGGCCGAGGTGCTTGCCTCTCACGCTTCTTAACCTTTTTTTTATTGTTTTTTTAATAAAAACCCATTTTTGTCCCTAAAAGAATATTTATGACATCTTGATCCTACAGTTTTGGTCCCCAAATTATTGTCAAGCTAAAGATACTTTTGTCTCTGATCTTCTGCATATGTAGTTCAAACTCAGACACAAACCTTGCACGCTTCCAGACCAATGCTTAGCCTCCATGTCCTTCCGTTACTTACTGAAAATTTTCAGCATTCCACAGAATTTGTGGGTTCAACAAGCATGGCCTTTTAAGGTTGGTATCAATCCCTACATTTTAAAACAATATTAAGCAAATAAGTCCTTCATTATAAACCTATACTAGCAATTATATGCTTAAAACATTTGAAAACATTTGAGACCATGTGATAAACAACTACACCTAAAATCATAACAATTAAAAACGTAACAACCATCATTACCTTCAATTTTTCATCCTTATAAATGAATACTAGAAGAAATTCTTCACAAAAATTATATATTAATATTTACTTTTTTATTATAAAAGAAATATAACGTTTATTATATAAATTGTTCAAAATCTCTTTCTTATAAAATATATTATTTCGGTAGTAAAATTCTATTATTGTTTATTTTATTTCTTTTTTCTCATATTTTATTTTAGATGTGAGTTCTTATACCGTTATTTTGATTCCTAACAATGGTATTAAAGCTGATGGTTAGTTTCTTATTTATGATATTATTATGCTACTATAATCATTAGGATAATATTGAAGAAAATTCTTAGTATTCTCTATGGTTGCAGTTAAGTTGATCTTTCACATTAGAAAAGAGTTATTCTAATTACTCGATATAAAGTGTGGTAGTGTAATAGTATGTCTAGGAAATGTTCTGACAAGAAAAAACTTTATATTTAAATTAAGACTTGGTATTTAATTTACAGTTTACACTGTTGTTCCAGTAGACAATATTATTCATAGTGAAGGGTGCATAAGTCGGTTAAAATCATAACAACAAAATATGAGATAGACAGTTTAATGGAAATAGTTTTTCATTATGGAAATTGAAGATAAAAACAATTTTGAGAAAAGACAATTGTGTAAAAGCAATTGAAGAAAGATCAATACAATTTACGTTGTTGTTCCAGTAGATAATACTATTCATAGTGAAAGGTGCATAAGTCGGTTAAAATCATGACAACAAAATATGAGATAGAGAGTTTAATAAAAATAGTTTTTCATTGTGAAAATTGAAGATGAAGGTAATTTTGAGAAAAGACAATTGTGTAAAAGCAATTGAAGAAAGCTTATAGGCATCACAGATTGAAGGTGTGAAGAAATTTACAACAATGTTATAACAAATTTGTGGATAAAAGTACAATGAAAGAGATTTGAGAGTCCTTTGTCAAATTGTACAAGGAGAAAACACATATTGAACTTGGTTTATTATGATGTGTTAGAATCATCGGTATTATCTTTAGGAGGGGTCAAATATTTTGTGTTAGTGATGATAATGATTACTCCAGGAGATTATGGGTGTACCACATCAAGAGGAAGTTTGTGTTTTCAAAGTTCAGGAAAGAAAAATTCTTGGACTATACTAACAATATGAAGGGATATTTCCTGTGGATCCCACTATCCACAATGTTATTGTTAGCGGTGACACAAATATTATTTTTCTTCAAGGTGAACTTAGAGAAGGGATTGGTGTGCTCCAACCAAAAGACTTAAAGAAGAAGGAAACTTGGTTTGCAGGTTGACCAAATCTCTGTACGATTTAAACCGAGTGTCCAAGTGTTAGTACAAAACATTTGATTCTTCATGATTAACCTTGATTACAACATACTAAGTTCAGGTTATTATACCTATTACAATAGATTTGATGAGAATAATTTTATCATTTTGTTGTTGTATGTGGATGACATGTTGGTGGTAAGTTCCAACAAAGTTCTAATCTAGGTTTTGAAGACACGGTTGGCTAGGAAGTCTGATATAAAGAACTAGGAACCAACAAACAAGATTTTAGGGATGCAAATTTACAGAGGTAGAAAAGATAGGAAAGTATGACTTCATTAGAAGAATTACTTACTGAATGTCTTAAAGTGCTTCAATATGCAAGTGTGTAAGCCATTTTTTATCCCATTTTCTACCAAGTTATTCTCAAGTACGAGTCCTAACAATGAAATAGGGAGGATGGAAATGTCTTGAGTATTACATGCGTTGATGTGGGAAGTCTTATGAATACCATGATCAATACAAGACCAGACATTGTATAAGCAGTGGAAGCGGTTAGTAGATCAATAGAAAATTGTGGTAGAGAGCATGAATATTATCAAGATAATTCTTATCAAAGGAACCTTGGATGTTGTATTATGTTTCGGAGAATCAAAACTAGTTGTCAAATGCTATATTTGTTCAAGTTTTGCAGGTGATCTTGATGAGTTTACCTTTGTTGAAGTGACAATAACTAGTTATCTAAGTTATACGATGTTGTAGCTCTGTTTATCACAGAAGTTGAGTACATGACAACATGTAAGAAGCTATTTAGATTAAGAGGATAATGGAGGAACTCGGACACAAGCAACAACAAATTATTGTGTATTGTGACAGTCAGAGTGTCTTGCACATTGCAAAAAATCTTACCTCGTATTTCAAGATAAAACAAGAAGAACCTAACAAATGTTAAAGAAACTATTTGGATTAAGAGGATAATGGAGAAATTCGAGCAAAAACAACAACAAATTGTTGTTGTTGTTGTGTATTATGACAGTAAGAGTATCTTGCACATTATAAGGAATTCTACCTCGTATTTTAAAATAAAACAAGAAGAATCTAACAGTGAGAATGTGAGAAGTCCCACATCAGAAAAATTATATGATGGTACTTATTTTTCTTGTTATAAAAGAGCATAATGTTTATTTTTTAAATTGTCTCAAATCTCTTCTTTATCTTTTTTATTAGTGCATTGCATAATAATTAAGTTTTTTTATTTTTAAGAGAAAATATTATTATTATTTTTTTCTTAAATGTAAAAAGATATTATAATTTCTTTTAGTAATAAAATTTTATTATTATCTTTTTTTTTTCATATTTTATTTTAGTTGTGAGTTATTATGTTTATCTTAGTTGTGAGTTTTTTAGTTGTGAGTTATTATGTTTATTTTATTTGTGAGTTAACAGCTTGTACGACCGTTAATCCTAAGCACATTTGCTTCATGATAATCTGCTGTACTTATAACACATCCCCTGAATCTGTTCATTGTGTCCATCTTCCTTGATCTTACACCAGCAAAAATAAACCAAATGACAGACCATACCAGGAAAAACAACCCAAAAGAACTCAAATATTAATAACATAACTATCATACCCTTGACAAAGGCCAAGTGAAAAAGAACGTCCCTGGATTTCTTGTTGTTCATTTTACCCTTTAATATAACCTGTTTCTACCGTAACAGAGAAAAACAGTACCACTAAGCTCCTCCCACTTCTTTATCAAAAGAGTTTTGCTATTTGTCAGACATTCTAAAACCCCCATATTGGAGTGACACATTGCTTGAGATCTTTCAGAATGGCCACATTTTTTGCTAAATTCCAAATTCAATAATATTTAGGATTTACAATATATATAAAATAAATAAATAAGGATTGGTTATACGGAAGCACCAACTTTAGGAAATCCCTTTAAGAAACACTAAAACTCAACAACAACCTTCCATTTTAACCACTTCACCCATGACGAGAATATTTAAACGGGGAGAAAGTGTTTGTACTTAATTGGAAGTATCAATACCTGAACATTGTGGTCTATCTTAGCTAATTACGAAATATAACTGGTCATTAACAGACCAAGAGGTCTAACTAGCATAACTGAAGGACCAACGTAACCGAGTATAAATATAGGCACCCAGCTCCACAAAATTTCTTTAGAGGACCTACTTATCACTTACATCTTTCCGGACGAAAATAAATGTTGTACTCGTTAGAGAAATGTTTATCATAATATATTTTACAAAAATCGGAGCCATATTTTACATGTGTAGGAGCAAAGACAAGTTTTGAAACAGAACGCATTGTAAAAGAATTTGCTAACTATTATAGCCAAAAGTTATAAGATACCATGGATCTCATAAGATCTCATAGAATTTGAAATCAAATCAATATCAACGATATCATGGATCTTATAAGATTTCTTATGAAAGATCTCAAATATCTACATTGGTACCAGTAGTCCAAAATTACAAAATTATCCAAATTTATTTTTATTATTAGCAATGAGATGGAATAAATAAATAAATAAACCTAAAAAAACGAATATATAATGATTTAATAAAAGAATAATAGTTTAATTATTTAATCAAACAAGATTTAAGAAGTAAAAACACATATTTGAAGTGTTTCAAGTCATTGGAATGTCGATATATATAGTATCTTTCTGATTTCCTCGGCTTGTACTGAGTTTTTTTACAGTGGATTAAACAATCTCAAACTTTGACCTAGATAGATGGCAATTAGAACCCTATATTTTTTCATGATTATATCTATGTATTCGTATTCCCAGTTGAACAAGAGGAAGATTTTTCTCATAAAGATTCGCAAATGGACACTCACATCCAAAGGCTAACAATCCTAATCTAACAATATTTCTAAAAAAGTCCTTGTATTTGTAGATTTTATTCTCTCTTAATCAAATGCTCTTGACATTTTTTTTCGTACAGTAGAAAATGTTTTACCATTTTTCATAGATGATACCAAATGTTTTATCCAAAAGTTATAGATACTTTTGTTAGTTTTGATTCGGTAAAATAATTAATATCTAAACCTAATTTTAGAGGTTCTTTTTATTGAGTATCTTATCTAATCTAATGGACTTGAACTCTAATTTAATGAAATATATCATGAATGACTTTATTATCGTAATATGGGATTTATAATAAGTGACCTTCATTTTAGGGATAATCTTAGGATAATATGATTTTTGACAAAAAAAAAAACTAAAAATGTGACACTTGTGCAAAGCAAAATAATACAGAAACGCCTAAATGATAAATCCTTAACGTGATATATATAACAAAAGACAATATTATGAGAGACTATATAATACGAAAAGAGATATAAAAAATATTATAAATATTGATTAGGTGTTAAAAATAAAGGAAGTTTATATGTATATACTATTCTTCTAATGCAAACCCTACCGTGAAAATAACGTGATGTAATGCAAAAAGTTCAAATGTGTAAGAATTAACTTCTTATAATTATATGAATACGAATTCTGTTACTCTAGTTAATTTGTTACTTACATTGGCTTGAGGAAATGTGAAGTCAAATTCCTAATAACATGGACTGCATACGTAAAACAAAGGTCAAAGTAGGCGATTGGAATGCCTGCAAGTATATATGGTGGTTCTGTAACGGTTTTCTGGTTTCCTTAGACTGCATAGAAATAAAAGACTAGTTTGGGTTTCTTATACAGACTTTACATACGACCTGGCTTTCAGTAGATCATCAAGTTTAAACCGACTTAATGTCATTCAAGCATATTCGGTTTAGCAGAGTTGTTCTTTGATACTCCCTCCCTCCATTTTCAACTTATTAGTTATATTGAAGAAATTCTTGCCAGAAATTAAGCCTAACTTTGTCTACACATTAATTTGGCCATTGATTTAGACCACTCCACTAACAACACACACGTAGACTAGTAGCCCATGCACGTAATCTATGCAAAAGCTAGACTCATCAACCTCCTCTTCTATAAATACTTGAACCACTCTGAATCAAAACATCCACCTCCACCCCATTAGTTAATTTTCTATATATCTCTCCTGCAACAAAATCACAAAATACAATGAAGCTGTTGAAAACCCTCTTCCTTGTGGCCTTGTTAATGGCTTTGGCCATTACTGATCTGTCAGCAACTTCTTCAGATTTTGATGAAGAGCCAAAGTCTCTCCGAGGAACAAGCCGGTTCCTTTCCCAGAGTGGCAGGGTGGCGTTGACATGTGAGAAGAACCCGAAGATTTGCCTTGTTAAAGGTAGTGCAGGGCCTGATTGCTGCAACAACAAGTGTGTGAAGTTTTCGACAGACAGACTTAACTGCGGGAGGTGTGGAAAGAAATGCAGCTTCGGAAAAATATGCTGCGAAGGCAAGTGCGTGAACCCTAACACTAACGAGAAGCATTGCGGCAAATGTGGCAACAAGTGCAACGCCAAAGGTTCTTGTGTTTTGGGGATGTGCAGCTATGCATAGAGTTTGGAACACTGAAGCATTATTATTCTTTGCATTGATTAATTACGTGGTTTTACTAATTCTATATGTTTCCTTGAATGTGCCTTATTATTGTTTTCAAAAATTGTTTGTAATTGGTGGTATATGAAATAAATAATTATGTATGTTCTTTTATTAAAATGCTTCTTAAAGGGGTTGGGTTAAGGGCAAAATATAAAAATATGGTAAGATTTTCAATTTAAATATAATCAGTCAGGATAGTTGAACAAAATATACTATATATGCGTAAGAAATTAATTAAGAAGAGCCACTTATAAAAAATGTGGAATATTAACTTAAAGTTGTTTAGGGGAAGAGTTTTTAAACTCATATATAATAATTTATGTGATTGAATAAAATTGTTTAAAGTAATACATTATTATTATTATTATTATTATAATACTAATAATAATAATAATAAAATCGTTGTCAAAGACTTACATCACTCAAAATTAATATTTTTAAAATTGGATTAGTCTGAAATTTTTAAAATTAGATTAATCTCAATCGATAAAAGTACGAGTTTAGAATTAAAAAATTTAATTAAAATTTAATTAGAGTTCAATTAAAATTAATAAAATAATATTTTTATAAATTAATAAATATATAATAAATTTATTAGTAATAATATTTTTTTTTAAATAATAATAAAGATTTCAATGAAAATCATAAATATAAAATATATTAAAAAGTATAAAATAAATAATTATTAAAATAAGATAAAAAAATATAATAATTAATATGAGATAAAAAAATATTATATTTTTTATAAAAGAATTATATTAAAAAAATTTAATCATAACTATTTTTTATTATTAAAACTGGACCCAAAAATTCAATTTTAAATCAATGAAAATTTGATTATTTAAAAATAATTTTTAATCCGATTGTTAATTGGTGAAATCTGCGTAACTATCCAATTTTCAAAACAATGGTAAAAAGTGAAACGTGTATAAGGATGAAAATTGTGATTCCATCACCAAATAACAAGTAGATAATACTTTTGGATAGTACATCTAAAATAATACTACTAAAAACGGTGTACAAGGGTTGAGCTTCATTATATTTATAATACGTAGTTTGATATTACAAAAGTTTGGATATTGGGTTGGATATAAGTGATTTTTTTACTAAATCCACACCTAACCAACCTGATTAACAGTAAGTTAAACTAGGTTACGTTATAATGGATGTCAAAAATAAAAATACTTATAATTGTAAAATATTTTTTTTATCAGTTCATTTTAATATAAATTTTGAATATGTAAATGTATTTTGATAAATAAGATATTTGGACAAATTAAATCAAATCTAAAATTAAAAAGAGTTTATGCAAAATGTGAAAGTATCTTTATTGAGTATTTGAAATTTAGTTCATAAATTACAAACTTATTTTTCATGTCGATTATGGTTTGAGTTGGACACTATGCAAGAATTATTCATCTATAAGAACAAGTTCTTGTAAAAAAATCTTTTTTCCTTTTTTTATTGAAACTAAAAATTATTAAAAAAAAGAGTTTAAATAATGAGTTTACTATTGGAATAAAAATTAGATAAAGTTATTAAATATGACATAAAAGTCTAAATATGTTAAAAATAGTTTAAAAATTTATGGATGATTTTGCAATAAAGATGACGATAAAATTTTGTAAATGAGACTATGAAAATAAATAAATAAATAAAATTATATTTATTGTATCCTTTTTTCCAAAATATTTTTTTTATAAAATACAGACAAAATAATAAATTAAATTGAAAAAAAAAATTCATGGGTTCAACTAAAACCTAAAAAACAAATGAGATTAATTAGATTGGGTTAAATTTGACCCATACCCTCAAAACAGAAGTCAAAATGTTTAGATTTAATTAGTTTAATTTAGCTTCATAAATATGTATACCTTAACACAAATTTAGAATCAAAACATTAATTAAAGGAAGAGTCTAAATCACTTATGTTCCATAATCTTATAACTCGAAGTTTCCTTTAATACATCATACATCTAAATATTTGATATTGTTTAGTGATAAACCTTTACAATAATAATAATAATAATAATAATAATAATAATAATAATAATAATAATTATTATTATTATTATTATTATCCACCTAGGACGAAATTATGAATGAAAAAAAATGGAAAAACATTTATATGTAGACAATAATAACAGTGCTATTTTATTTATTTAAATACGTGATTAAGTTTGATAGGAAAAAATTGGATAACTTACTGTTTAAAATGTATTGACTTAATTTATTTGAAATATACCTGCCTCAAAAAGTTAGTGTCGATATTTCTTTTTCGTGCAAATTGGGGACATAAGACTTTTTCATCATGACCACGGTTTATTTTTTATCATTCATGTAAAGAAAAAGCTTGTTTTGAACAACGTAAAAACGGACTTTCTTGGAAAAACGTAAAAAGCATGCAAATGAAAAGGTTTATACACTTAAAAAAAAAAATCTTTAATAAATGTCAAAGTGAGAGACCTGATTTCTAATCCGCCAACTTTGACCTTCCTTGACATGAACAAAATGAATTTCAAGGCAAACCAATAAATTCTTTACCCTAATTAATTTTAGTATTCTACACTAATATATCTGACACCAAATCCAAAAATATGTAGGCTGGTCAAAATGGACACTCCGTGTATCTGATCCTACAATTTAATTCAATTGGATTTCCATTTAAAAGGATTATGATCTAATTTCATCTTAGATTAGATTAACAGGTTAACGTATCAGTTTTGTTTTAATTAAAAATAAAAATTTTATTATTAATATATTTATATTAAAACAATTAATTAAAAAATATTTAAAGAAAAATTTAAAATAAAAATATACTTTTAAAGTATAAATTATATTAATAAATTTATTTTTATTTAAAATATAATAAATATTATATTAATAAGAATTAAAATCTTTTATTATTATTATTTATTTTTTAATAATTTATTAATTTAAAATAATAATTTATCTTAATTATTAAATCTTAAAATAAATAAATATTACATTAAACATTTATTTTATACATTTTTAAAAATAAATAAGTTTTTTATCTTATAATATATATATATTAAAAAAATTATTTATAAAACGAACAATAAAACTATAAACTAACTTCACCTAAATTTATATAAACGAATTCTGATAAAATAAACTTAATTTAATTTAAATTTTAAATTATTTTTATCTAACATAACTTATTTATCAAACTCTTTTAAATAGATTTATCGAAATAAATTTATTTTAAAACCACTAAAAATATCTATATTTACTCAACAATGCTTATGCTCTGTTTGGAAATATTACAAAATTAATAAAAAAACTGAAAATTTATTTGATGATAAAAGTTGATAACCGATGATTAAAAATTGTTAATTTAATTAATTAAATATCAAGTATTTAGTGAAATGATCAGTTTATAAATATAAATGACATAATTATACATATTTATACAACATTTTTATTTATGTTTTTTGCTAAAATATTGAAGTATTTATAATTTTAATTTTTAATTAATTTCAAACTCTTATAATATTTTAATTATGGATAAATTATTTTACTTTTAATTGTAATATATTTTTCATATTGTATATTTATTTACTAAAGTGAAAAATATTTTTTATACAATTTATTCTGAACTTACCATGATGATATGGTGTAAGTTTTCATGGTAAAAAAGAAAAAAAATTAGAAACTATTTAAATAACTCATGAAGAATTAGGCCGTTGTTGACGAGCCGTGTTATCTTCATATTTTCATTTCTTATATCAGAAGGTCAGACGGAAGAAGGAGGATATCAGTGCCTCTGTAACGGTTTTTCTGGTTTATTCAGGAAAGACTGCGTTTCCTTAACACTAGTTATGATCTCAATAGAAATATTATTGGACCTCGTGAATTCTTGTTATATTATTAATTATTATGAACAAAACAAGACTGTATAGATTATATGCATGAATCACGATCTGCATAACAACACACAAAACAAGACTCGTCATCGGATATGGTAGACATTTCACATTTTATTTCCACGTAAAAAGAAAAAACCCTATCTAATTTCGTTACTTCACCACACATTAGTTAGCTAGCTGTTGAATTAGACCGCTCCACTAGCACACTGTTTGAATCTTTCCAATTTACTATGCCATGTCTTAAGCTCGTTGAATCTACTTCATTCCTTCTTATTATATATATAGCTACCCCAGCACTCTTCATTTCACTACCAGAAAACCTTTCAATTCAGATATGAAGTCCCTTCTTCAGATACTCTTCCTTGTGGCCATGCTAATGCCTTTGGTCATCGCTGATTCACAAACATCACACCAAAAAGAATCGCCATTCCTCACCACCACCTATGTTAAAGGCCACAACTCTACCAAAATCCCAGCCACCCCATCTTCAGCGTCTCTCCGAGGAGCCAAAGGCCTCCATGGGCATAAAAATGTGCATGGGGTCATGACTTGTGATAAATACCCTAGAGTTTGTCGTGCCAAGGGCAGCGAAGGACCTGATTGTTGCAAGAGAAAATGTGTGAACGTGTCAACGGACACAAATAACTGTGGCATGTGTGGGAAAAAGTGCAAGTACTCGCAAGTGTGTTGCAAAGGTAAGTGTGTGAACCCTATGTTTGACAAGCACCATTGTGGAAGATGTGGCAACAAGTGCACCAAAGGGGATTCGTGCGTTTTTGGTCTGTGCAGCTATGCCTGAATGAATCACAGGATGCATCAACTTTTATTAATGCTAATAATCAATTAATTGGTTTTGATTATTTGGTATATATTTATAGAATTAAAGATTAATGGTCCAAAAAAACGAGCGCAAGTGATCATTTTAGAATAGATGATGGATGATCTTTGCTGCTACGTAGGATATGTAACTATATATGATGCTTTTTCATTTGTTGTATTGAATAAATTTAATTAATTTGATATATTTATAACTTGTGTTGTTACTCAATTTTAGTACAAAAACAAATTTATTAAAGGAGTAAAAGAGTATTCCAATTCTTTTACAATTTGATTCTTTTTACGTACTACAAATAATCCTACAAATTAGTGGTTTTTAGTGGTGTGGGTTATATTGATTCGCGTTAATTAGTGTTCTTGTTGGTCAATAAAGTCAGTTGAAAGTTTAGGACTAATACAGGTTGAAACAGGGTTGTGTGATTGGATTTAATTTCTTAAAATTGTTGAAGGTTTGAACAGTGGCGGAGGCTGGCTTATTCCATGGGTGCAACTTCACCTCTTCATTATTAAAAGGGGGAGAGAGAGAGAGAAATCCCTAAATATAGATGTACCCCTTTATTTTTAAAGATTTAAATAATATTTACAATTTCTCTTTGTATTTATTTACTATCCATTTATATATATATATTATTTTTCTTCTCATCACTAAGTGTCATTTGAACGTGAGAGGATGTTGAAGAATATTTTTAATATATATATTAGGTATATTTTGTGTGAGGAGTAAAGGAACTGGTATAACCCGTTTAAATTTATGGAGTAGTTATTGCGTGCACGTATATATCATATTATATTTACTATTATTTATTTAATTTCACAATTTATCAAGTTTTCTACATGCACTTCCATTTCTATCTTTTATTTATTTTTCTTTTATTGTCTTAAAATTTTGATAATTCATGAAGTTTTTTTTTTTTTTCATTTTTCACTTTTCCTTTCCTCTTGTTTCTCTCTTTAATTGTTTCATTAAAACTAATCTAAAAATATAAAATTAATTAAATTAAAAAAGTATACTTTTAAAATATATTTTGAATAATAATATAATTTAGAATGTAAATAAAATATATTTTAAATAAGTAAAACTTTAAATATATTTTAAATCAATTTAAAATAAGTTAAATATTTTAGATATTATAAATAATTTTTTTAAATATTAAAATTTTATACCATGGTAAAACAAAATTTGTATGATCAACGTTATAAAATTTTAATATTTTGATATTAAAGTAACTTGAACTATTCAAATTATGGTTAAAATAAAGAGTAATATTATGATGTGATGTATTTTGTTTTGATGGTTAAAATTAAATACAATGTTAGACATTAGAAAGAGGTTGAACTTACAACTACAACTTCACCTAGGATAATTGTTCATTGATCACAATATATAATTAAGTTGAATGAGTTTGTTTTTCTCATATATTTATACTCAATCGAATTAAGAATAGAAGACCAACATGAATGTGCTCACCACATGTACCAACTTCACATTCTTTTCTTTCATGTGTTTTCGAATGATATGAAAACGTATATCAATGTACTTACTAATCTCTCAAGCAGCACAATATAAATTATGATAAGGTGTTCGTGTAATGAGAATAGAGACAATTTGACTACTAATTTCTCTAGCAGCACATTATAAATGGTCAATTAAATAGATGAATTTCAATTCAATATTTTTTAATGGTGTGCTAAAAAAAGAAGTATATATTAAACAACCACGAGGATACATTAAGAAAGGAATGGAGATGAAAGTTGATGTTGAAGAAAACTCTTTATGGGCTTAAGCAACCTCCTTGAATATAGAGTGATCAAATTAATACATATTTCAAGGGGAATGAGTTTGTAGATTATCTTTATAAATATGTCTTATATGTAAAGAAAGATGGAGACAATGTGATGTTTTTGCTCTTTTTGTTGATGATTTTATTTTTATGAAAAATAATTCTAAAATGATTTAAAAGTTTAAGAGTATAATGACAAGAGAGTTTGAGATAACTGATTTGGGTATGATGAAGTTCTTTCTTGACTTGAAGGTTAGACAGGAGAAATTCAGGGATATTTGTGTCCCAAGAGATGTATGCAAAGAAGATTTTGAATAAATTTAAGATGGTCGATTGTAATCCAATCTCAAACCCCATGGAACTGAGAATGAAGCTTTTAAAATTTGATAAAGGAGACCAAGTTGATTTAAACAGATATTAGAGCTTAATTGGAAGTCTTAGTTACCTTATAAGCACAAGACCCGACTTGTTACTGAATGTTAAGATTGTTAGTTAGTTTATGAATGATCTGAGTTATTCTCACCGGAAGGAGTTGAAGCGAATATTGAGGTATACCCAAGAAATAATATTACTCGAACTATTTTACATAAGGTCAAACAACTACCAACTTGTCAGCTACTCAAACAATGATTAGTGTGGAGATGTAGATAATTGAAAAAATAGGTCGGGATATGTATTTTTCATGGGAAACACAACTTTTACTTGATTTTTTAGGAAACTCATAATGAAACTATCAACATGTGAAGTTGATTATGTGGTAACATCTTGGTGTGTGTGTGTGTGTGTGTCTTGCAATATAGCTAAAAAATCTCCTTATACCTTTATTTTCACAATATTTCATGAATGATATAAACTCTCCACCTATTATATTAATCTTATATTTCTCCTAGTTGTCTTCTCCACTATCACCTTAAACATTTGGAACACCTGAGATTTCTCTCTCAAAAAATAAACCTATGTCGTTCTTGAGAAATCATCAACAAATGTCATAAAATACCTTTTATCACTAAATAATTCCATGGTAATCGATCCAAAAAGATTGATATGAATCAACTTAAGTTGCTCCTTTACTCAATACTTGTCTTATTTCCAAAAGGGGTCCTCACCTGTTTATCGATCACACACTCTTCATAAAATCTCCCTCACATTCCATGCTCAAAAATTCATGCACCATGCTCTTCTTTGATAGTTCGATTAAATCACCAAAAGCAGATGACTAAACTGATGATGTCATGTCAACATTGTGTCTTCTACATTTAGTTTCAAACATCTCTCCTAAATGTTCCTTAGTTGCAACTTGTACATTCTATTCTTATTCATCTCATCTTGGGCGATCAACCTTCTCACCTTATACTTCAAGCGCAATATTCGATCTTTCATGAATATCAAATAGCCTCTCTCCATCAATTGTCTCGTGCTCAAAATGTTAGTTTTGAAATTGGGAGTGTAGTACATATCTTGAATTGACCAGATTAAGTCATCCTTCTGCAAGTAGTGGATCATGCCTTAGGCTTAAGACCTTCGAAGCATCACCAAAAGTCACATAGTCAGTTTTCGTTCTTTAACTCCTTAAACAAGTATTCATCTCTACATATGTGATTACTTGTATTTGTGTCTAGGTACCATATTGAGTGGTACTTGGTATCTTCACATCCTTCTAACTTATGATTGGCTCAACTAACATTTTTCAACCTATGATCGGTCATTAGTACTATTATTTCCCCCTCTCGGAAATATTTGTCTCTTCCATTCTTTTCTCGGCTCGACATTATTTTGCAAACTGTCTCATCTTTTCACAATTGTAACATTTATCCAAGATATAATCTCTCGCATAGTGACCATATTTGTTACACTAATTGCATTCAAATTGTAGGTCGGTGATCAACCTCCTCTCCGACCACATCCTCTACCGTATTAATTTTGTTAGTTTAAGTCTTTCTTCTCATTGTTTTGTCCATGACCTCTATCACCTTGGTCTTGACCTCCACGTCCTCGTCCTCTATCTTGAGTGTTTTGAGAGTGGAGAGTTTTTTCTTCTTTAAGAGACATTTTACTTTTGATTGCTTGTAGGGCTGCCTCCTACTTAAGAGACCCACCCATTTTCTGTACTGTGAGATCGAACAGATCATTTGACTCCTCTGTCTTACACACAACGTTTTTGAAATCGTCAGTTGACAATCTCAAAATCTTCTCCATAACTCGAACATTAATGAGTGTCTCTCCATTCTAATTAAGCTAGTTCCCCACAGTCTCCACCCGAGTGATGTACTTGAAAACTCCTTTCTACTTCTTCATTCTCATGCTTGCAAGTTCACCACGAAGTGTTTTGTAGTCGAATTTGTGTCACTTGGTCATTGCCCTTATATGCTTTCTTCAAAATCTCTCACGTTTCTTTTGAATTTTTAACACTTGTTATCTTATCAAACCCTTATTTATCAATCGCTCGGTACAACATGTATAGAGCTATTTTATCCTTCACACACGTCTCTTTCAACGTCTTGTTTTGAACCACTGATATTCACTAATTCTTTGAATCATTTGTCAACCACCTCCTAATTATTCGAACCTTGATCTAGATACTCTAATTGTCATATTTAATTGCATTTGTCATACACTACCTCTTGATACTAATTTAATAATAAAAAATTATGAATATATATATTATTACCAAATAAAAATTACACATGAGTATTTAAATACTACAATTTTAACTTTTTAAAACCTTAATATTAACCTTCTATAATCGTAATATTAATTATTTAGAATTATAATATTAGCTACCAAAAATTAAAATATTTTACCTAATATTTAAATTTATCATTTGAAATTTAATTTTTTAAGGTTTGATATTAAATATTTCAATTTTAATATAATTTATGATGCCACCAACATGATTGAATTATAGTTAACTTGACTAAGTGATATGTTTACTGAGAATTATAACTTCATCTATTATTAATATAAAATAATTTTATTATAATTAAGGGATTAAAATTATTATAAATATATTATTTTCATATTTTTTATATTATTTTTTAAATATTTTTTTAATTTAATATTATTTTTTTCTTTACTTTTTATTATATGCATTATACTTTCTCTTTTTATTTTTTTAATAAATGTTATATTTTTTTTCCAATTATCATGATATTTTATCTCTTTTCTTTTTCAAAAACATAAT